GTCCTGGTCGCACTCGCAGTCGCCGCGGTCGGAGAAGCACGCCTCGACGTTGCACTGCTGGTTGCAGGTTCCGTCGCCAATGGAGGGCCATTCGCAGCCCGGCGCACACTGCAGGGACGGCGCGTCCTCCGCGGTGGGGTCCTCGACGCCGTAGACGACGAGGGAGAAAGTCGTGTACTCATCGTACGCGAGGATGGAGAGGTGAAGCGTGCAGGACGCCTCGACGCCCGCCGCGCCGCAGAAGAGGTAGTTGTACCGCCCGAGAGTCACCTCTTCGACACCGTAGTTATCGGAGAGGAAGGTGTAGTTCGCGCCGGTGGGGAAGGGGTTGTCGAACGAGACGTAGAGGTCCGGGTCGCCCTCGCCAGGCACGACGACCGCTTTGATGAGCTCGACCGAGCGAGGAATCTCCACCTGGCGGTTTGACAGCGTGGATCGGTATGGGCGGCCACGCACTGGGCCGGCGAGGCGGGGATCCACACCTCGTAAAAGACGTACGTGTGCTCGTCGAGCTGGCCGTGGATGAGCTTGTTGAGCGGCAGCGCCTTGACAATGTCGCGCTCAAACACGACCGAGGGGAATATGTCGTACGACGAGTAGTAGTCGAAGCCGTAGAAGGAGAGGTTGTACGGGTTGCGCTCCGTGTCCCCGCTCCCCGCCTCATCGAGGGGGCGAGCTGCCGACGGCGCCTCTCGGCTGTGGCTGGGGTTGTGGTGGCACGACGGCTGCAGTGGGGGAATTTCGCAGTACTCCCACCGAGTCTCCGGGGCGGTGGTGTAGCACCACGGCCGCGCCTCGTTGTCTGGGTTTCGGCAAGAGCTGTGCCCACCGAGCCCCGCGTGCGGGAAGTTGGTGTGGATCCTCGTGTGCCTCTGCGGCCACTGCGCGGACCACTTTTGGCACGGATAGCCGCTCTCGGTGTGGTTGAGGGCACCACGGTAGTCGGAGCCGTCCGGATGCGAGTAGCACTCGCCGTAGCCATGAAAGCAGTCGGTGCCGTCCCAGTCGCACGCCTCCACATTGCACATATCATCACACTCCCCATCGCCGAGATATGCCGGATCGCACTGAAACGCACAAAAGCCCTCGGCTACACTGAAGCCGTACGAGTCGTCGTCCCAATAGTCCGCATCGTCCCCCGTCGACACGTCCTCGCTACAGCGACTCAGCGTCAGGCCTACCGCCAGCCCCACCGCGCGGAGCATGGGCGTCATTTTTCCAAACACTGGGGTTGGGCAACCGGTAGGCGACTTTTACGCCCCTGCACGCCGTTTTGCTCAGACACGGTCGAAGGTAGTTTGGTTGGTAAAAAGTTAGCGGTTGCAGATTTCGGATCGCGTTACACGATCGGGCAAGACCCTGTTCACGCGTTTGTTTGTTTTGATTTGTGTATGGGCCTACCTACTCGCCGCCCTCCACCTCGCCACGCGGAGGGAGCTCAGAGTTTCCCCGTTCCCTGGAACCTCTTGGAGCAAAGAGGAACTCGCAAGAGACGAATGCGGTCGATCGGGCGGTAGATGAGGGATGGTGGTGGGTCGCTTTGAGAACTGATAGGTTGGCGCCTGTCTGAGCAGGAGCCGACGCTAGTCGGGAGCTGTGTCAGGAGCCTCGTGGCGCTCGGATGTCCCGCGCACAAAGTGGCGGGCAGCGGCGGGCGCGGGATAAGGGTTCCCGCCCGCTAGGCGCTGCCCTCTGCGCCGAGGCTCGACCCGCTTCTCCTCAGTTCACTAGAACTAAAGTTTGAAACAAGAATTCTTTGTGGCAAAAGCGCAAGGCCTCTCCCTAGAAGCGCCACGTACCGCCGCCCGAATGGCGGAGGAGAAGCCCAAGAAAGAGAAGAAGGACAAGAAGCGCAAGGCTGCGGCCGAGGCTGACCCGGCAAAGCTCGAGAAGATTGAGAAGAAGAAGAAGAAGAAGCAGAAGCGGAAGGAGGAGGCGACTGCGGCTGCAGCGGCTGCAGCGGATGCCGTCGGCTCCAGCTTCGACAGCTTCGACTTTGGGAGCGCGACCGTGGCGCATCTGCAGGCCAAGTTCTCGGCGCCGTCCGAGATCCAGGCTCTGGCGTGGCCAGAGGCGCTCGCCGGCAAGGATGTCGTCGCTGTCGCCAAGACTGGCTCCGGGAAGACGCTCGCCTTTCTCCTTCCGGTGATGCGGCGCATCGGCGACGGCGGTGGCGGCAAGGTGCGCGCGCTCTGCCTCGCGCCGACGCGGGAGCTCGCTGCGCAGATCGGCGAACAGTGCGGTGAGTGGGGCCCTCTCTGTGGGCTCAGCGCTTGCGTCGTGTACGGCGGCGTCCCGCTCGGGCAGCAGAAGAGCGAGCTCGCCTCGCGGAAGCCGGGACTGCTCGTCGCGACGCCGGGCAGGCTGTGCGACCTCCTCAAGCAGGAGGTCGTTCGGCTCGGAGGCGCCTGCCGGCACGTCGTGCTCGACGAGGCGGACCGGATGCTCGACATGGGCTTCGAGCCGCAGCTGAAGCAGATCTTCGCGGCGCTGCCCGCCGCAGAGGCGCGGCAGACGCTGCTCTTCTCCGCCACGTGGCCGAAGCAGGTCCGCAAGCTCGCCTCTGCCTTCCTCCGGCCGGTGGAGCAGACCGCCACCCTCTTCGTCGGAGGCGCGGGCGGCGAGGGCGAGGCGGGCCAGCCGTCCGCAAACAAGGCGGTGTCGCAGGAGTTCGTGCACGCGACGGACGACGAGAAGGACAACCTGCTGTGGAAGCGGCTGTGCGAGCTCGAGGCGGGCTCGCGCGTCATCGTGTTCGCGAACACGAAGCGGCGCGTCGAGATGGTCGCAAAGACGTTTGCCGAGTTTGGCACCTGCGCCATCCACGGAGACAAGCCGCAGGCGATCTCTCTCTCTCCTAGATCTCGGCTAAGATCTCGGCCACATCTCACCCAGGGAGACAAGCCGCAGGCGGAGCGCGAGCGGGCCCTCGCCGACTTCACCGCCGAGCGGCGGCCCCTGATGGCGGCGACGGACGTGGCGGCGCGTGGCCTCGACATCCGCGGCGTCACTCACGTCGTCAATTTCGACATGGCGAGGGACGTCGAGAGCTATGTCCACCGCATCGGCCGCACGGGCCGCGCAGGCGCGAGCGGCGTCTCGCTCACCTTTTGGAACCCCGACTATGACAAGGAGTGCGCGCCGGCGCTCGTGGCGATCGCGCGCGCCGCCGACCAGCCGGTGCCCGACTGGCTCGCAAAGTTCGAAAAGACAAAGGCGTCCAAGACGTGGGCCGTCGCAAAGGCGGAGGCCGCGCTGGCGGCCGCAGGCAGCGAGGCGTCGTAAAAAGGCTCCCGGCTTCGCTCGGACAGGCGCTTGCGGCAGCTTGGAACTTTGGAAGATGAGATGCCCCGCCGCGCGGGAGGACGCACGCCATATATATGAAGAGAGAAAACTAAGAAACTCTAAAAGAAACTGACACCGGTGTCGAAGGAGCACAGGAGAGTCCACACCTGGCACGCGGAGCGGCACTTGGAGCACTTATGGAAGAGTCAAGAGTGGCCCCGCGGGGTTTGTGGCAACCTCACAACGTCACAGTGGTCAGTGTGCAGGCTCACATCCAGGGCGCAGGGCTGCCGGGGAGCATGAGAAGCGGGAAGCGCGCAGGTGCGCACCCAGCGGGCCGGATGCTCGGCGGCATCGGGCTATGAGCAAAAGAGCCCTGAGCGTGTGAGGTGTGTTAGTGAGTGTGAGTATTCTTGATACGAAACCACGACGACACACGGTTACTTCCCCCAGGATTGGTCTTCTCTGCCTGCGGGAACACCCTCGGGCGGCTGGGTGGGGCTGCGGCTGGAGCTAGCATGGCTCGATAGAGCCGAGACCCCGTGTTGAGGCGGCGCTCCTGTGGGCGGCTGTGGAATCGGCAGATTCGATCTCAGATCTCCAGTATTCTCATCCCAGTGGATGGACGTCCGGACGTCCCTTTGTGTTCCTCCCCCGTCCGCCAGCGAGACGCTCAGTCGCTGGCGGCCGCAGTTTTCTGTGAGGTGGGAGGAGAGGAGAGGACAAGTGGAGATGGCGCAGCAGCAGGCTCCGCCAGCTGCGCTGGCTCCCATCGCCGTCGTCGTTGACGAGGTTCAGATCAACAGCGACGCAATGCTCGTTCTCGCTCCAGGTGCTCAGCACGTAAGGGACCACACGTCTTTCTTGAATTGGGCTACCGTGTACAACGGTGCAGCAGCAGTGGCCAGCTACACCCTGGGGCAGAGCGACGCCAAGGGCGCCTTCCTGCCGAGGTGCCAGTTCAGCGGGGACCAGCAGACAGGCACCCTCCTCGATGGGAATCACGTTCTCAATGTGTTTTTCAATGGGGCATTCTGGTCGCGGCTTCTGACCGCTCTGGATGCTGCAAACCTCTTCGCCACCTCCATGGAGAAGATCGGCGTGCTGCACCAGCGGCTCGCCGACCTGGTGATGGCCAACCCGGGTGTCTGGAGGATCGCGCACACGGACATTTTTCTTGGTGAGGACTTTGACGCGCCCGCCGTCCCAGCGGTGGCCGCGGGGAGAGGCCGAGGCCGTGGTCGAGGAGGCCCGGCTGTGGCAGCAGTCCCTGCTATGCCCGGACCGCCAGACCTGCTCTTCCTCACGCACCTCCCGCTTCACGCGCTCGAGGTGGACGGGGAGCTGCCTCTGCTCTCGTACTCGCTGCTCTCTTTCTGTCTGGGGCCGACGGCTACGAGGGCGGCCCGCCTTCCTCTGGCGGCCCCTGCGCGGATCATAGCCGGCCTTCTTCAAGGGGCTATTGTGCAGAGCTTCGGGACGGCGGCCGCCAACCCGGCGATGCTCGCGCTCCAGATCCCTCGCCTGCTCAAGGGCTCCTCGCTCCCCGTCCTCTTTCAGTCCACCGCCTCGGACCCGTACACAAGGCTCGAGGACTTCACGGACATGCTCCGCATGCAGTCCGGCGGTGCAGATGAGAGGCGGCGCATCGAGGAGAGGCGGATCAAGCTCGCCACCTCTCTGGGCGCGCTCTACCAGCTGGTCATCCAGCCGTCGCCTTCGGCCCAGACTGCGACCACTCTGGTGAGCCGCCTGGCCGCCAAGATTCTGACTGCGCCCCAGCTCAAACTGTCGCTCGCGGACCAACTTGCCATCCTCTCGGCAGTCGTCCATGATCGGCGGCATCTTGTCCAAGCCGGAGCTTCCGCGGAAGACGCGGTCACCGCTCTGATGGCGGAGAACCTCCTCTACGACGGGGGGCGAGTCCCGGGCGGACCTGCCCCGGGTGCTGACGGCGGGCCTGATGTGTCTGCCCACGCTCTCCCGAGCCGCCTCATCGAGAAGGCTTCGATGCTGCCCAAGTTTCAAGCGCTCGCGGGCGCAATCGCGGGACTGGACACCGCCAACTCCGAAGTCAGGCGCCAAATCCTGGCAGCCTCGTTCGCAAGTGGGAGCGACATCGTCTTCCGAGTTGTCCTCGGGCCTGGGGGCCGCGAAGCCAGGATGAATGCGACGCTCGCCAAGATTGCCCACTGCAAGGTGGAACTACCCACCTATCTCACATGGTGCCTGGTGGTCGGCAGCGGCGGCCAACGCCAAGAGGAGCTCGGGAGGTACCACCTCACGGGCCTCGACGGCACAGAAAACCGCCTCTTCAAGTCGTTCATATCGGGCAATCTGGTCGGCACCGACTACGGGTACCCCAGCCTCCGACGGGGCGGTTCCGGGTCCCCCAGGCTCCGCGTGGGTTGGAGCGGTGACGGCCACGCCGGCGGCGGGGGCGGAGGCGGCGGAGGGGGGGGGCGGGCATGGGGGCGGGTACGGCGGCGGCACCGGCGGTCGCATCGCTTGGTATGGGGCCCCGATGGCGGCCCCCTGACCCTGCGGCCACCCCAGCGGCGGGGGCGGAGGCGGTGGCGGGGGTGGCGGGTGCGGTGGCGGCACCGGCGGCCGCAGCGCCTGGTGTAAAGCCCCAGCAGCGGCCCCTTGACCCAACGGCCGCTCCAGCGGTGGAGGCGGAGGCGGTGGTGGTGGAGGCGGGCGTGGTTGCGGTGCCGGCAGCCGTGTCGCCTGGGGCGGGGCCACGGGGGCGGCCCCCTGCCCCTGCGGTCGTTCTAGCCGCGGTTCCACGCGTCGGCCGTCCACCTCACTCGTGGGGGCCGGCCTAGCTCTTGTCTCCCCTCGCGAAGGGGGGGTGGCAGGGCCCGGGTTCGCCGACGGTCCCGCTTCTCCCTCCCGCCGCTCCGCGCCGGGCCGTAGACTGCGCAGTAGCTGCGCCGCCTCCCCCTCACCCGGTCCCTCTCGATTCGGTCCCGCACCGACCGGATATCAAAGGCCGAGTTGTGTTCGGACAGCGGGCCCGCCGATGCCACACGCCTCTTCACACAGCAGACGTACGCCTTCATCGCCTGCCCCCCCGACGACGTCGGTCCCGGTGCAATGTCGTTGACGAGGTAGTCCTCCCCCTCCCACCGGAAAACCTGTCCAAGAAGGTCTGTCGAGCCAACCAGTCGTTTAGCCAGGCCCCGCACCTCCCGTGCTTGTACTGGCCTGAGGACGCCGGTGCTGGCCGCGAACGACAGACCGATCGCCCTGAGTTCCGCCAGGACCGCCCTCTCGCCCGCCACCGCGGCCTCTTGATTCATCTCGGCTTCTCGGATCGCCTTCTCCCGTTGTCTTGCTCTGTCTGCTGCCGGCACGAACCTCACCGGGCTGCCTCGTGCCCTTCCTGGCAAGATCCGCGCCGGGGGAGGTCGATCCACAGTTGCAGCCCCGGCTCGGGATGCGCTCGCCTGTTGCGACGACTGCCCCCCCCTCGCCGCCAACCCGTCTCCTTGCCCCCTCTTCTCACGGACCACAGGGGCTGCACAACAAAAGCACACAAACACCCCCTGTCCCTGCATGGCGTGGCACAGGCGCGTCCTCATCCCCTCCTCCGCTTCCCCTTCCACCCGCTCAGAAATCCGTTCTAGGATGGCGCTAACCACCTCTTCAGCTACTTTCGTAGCCGCAGGTCCGTCTTCCGGCTTCACGTGGAACAATGTGCGAAATTTACCGCCGCACCCATGACAGGCGGCGATCCCCACCGCTTGCCAGTGGCGCGTCACCTGTATCGCCCGCTGCTTGGCCACCCGAGCCACCATCCTCAGGGCGCCTCCCTCCATCCCGAGCAGCGCACCCGCCATCGGTTGTAAAAACCACCCAAGACAGCTTGCAGACCTCCCGGAAAGGCTACATTTCGTAACGATGGTCGCTATTGGCCACCTGCCTCCTTCATCTACAAATGTCGTCGGCACGGACGGAGCGGCGCCAAGCATTGAACGCTGTGCGTGCTGCCGGCGGCACTCCCAGGCCCCGAGCCAGAGCCCCGACCGTCTCTGGCGTTCCATGCGACTGGGACTACCTGCGAGGCGTGTGGGTTCGGCCGGATGGCGACGACTACGATGCGAGAGTGGCAAAGGCAGAGAGGGCGGAGGAGCTGCGGTGGCGGGCGATGCAGAGTGACGGTCGCCGTACACATAGCCCTCGCACGACTTCCACGCCGTCGGCTCGAAGAGCACGGCCTCGGTAAACCGAGAAGGCTCATTGAGCGTGGCGCCCGCATTGCTGGCTCTCATTGAGCAGCAGTTCAGATGCGGGCGCGTCCCGTCACAGCATTCGCCCTGACCCGGTACGCACATGCTCAGCCCGTCCCTCGCTCACCGGCAGGCGACCCGCACCTCGCGTGGGCACACGAAAATGGCCTCGTGGGTCGAGAGCGTATCAATCGGTCAGATGAGGCTGGAGACTTCACCGGGCTGACTCGGCCGACTCGGAATCTCTTCCGGACCGCGAGGGCGTACCGTGAATGGGCTCGTGAGCTGTCCGACACGGATGCCACATGGGAGGCCTTTGAGAGGATGCGGCAGGCAAGATGGAATGCCCGCCACCGTGCATTGCACGCTGGGCAGCGCGACCACAACGTCGAGGGCGCAGGCCGGCTGCTGCCGTGCGAGACGACGGCGCTGGATTCGTCGCGCGTGCAGCAGCGTGCAGCCCGCCAGGCGCGACAGCCTGCCATTGTCTAAAGTGTCGGTGCGGTTGGCGGCGCTCGCGCTGTTGCTCGTGCACGGCCATTGGGCCGCGTGCGCGCTTCATGTCCGTGTGTGTGCTCCCGAGGAGTGTGGAGAGGCATTGCCTCTCATCCGCCGCGCCGCCGCGGGACTCACGTGCGGACCGCCGTGAAGCGAGTTCTTTGACTAATATCACATGTTGGGAGACTGATGGGTCAAAAGCATAGATCGTCAATCGACGCGTCGCGCCGTTGCCGATCCGCACACCGAGGTTCTTGGGTGGCGCGCCGCTGGGCGCGCCCCAGCTCTTCACAACGAATCTGGTCCCCAGCGCGGCCGGGCTTTTCGACTGCGGCATGGTTCTCCGAGACGCGGAGCTCTTCGGCCACTTTGGGCTGCCGGAGGAGTCGACGCGCCGCACGCTAGGCCCTCCCGTCCAGACCGTTGACGCGGAGGACCTGACTCGCCGCCTGACTCTGGCGGTCGAGGCGGGTCACGAGTCGCTCGTCCGCCTCCTGCTCGACGCGGGCGCTGACGTCAACCGGCGCAACACCCGCGGCGTGACGCCACTGTACTCTGCGGCGCGGGCGGGCAGGCGCGAGATTGCAGCGAGCCTGCTCGGCGCGGGCGCGCTCGTTGACGCGAGCTGCGCGGGCGACGGTCGCTCGGCGCTGCACGGCGCGGCTCACGCGGGCGAGACGGAGCTGGTCTCGGCGCTGCTCGCTGCGGGCGCCAACGCGGGCATGCGCAGCAGCTCGGGCGAGACGCCGCTGCACCTCGCCTGCTCGCGTGGCCGGGTGGGTGCAGTGCGGCTGCTGATCGCCGCCCGGGCGCCGCTCGATGCGGTGGACGAGAGCCGTCGGTGGACTCCGCTCCACGCCGCAGCCGCCTCGGCCAGGACTGAAGCCGCCTCGCTCCTCCTCGACGCTGGCGCAGAGGTTGACGCTGCTGCTGCCGACGGGGCCACGCCGCTCGCGCTGCTTGCGAGGCCGCCTCGGCCGACGCCCTCGCGGCCTCGAGAGGCTCGCCCGTCGGGTGCGGAGCAGCCGGGTGGACGTGCGGCGCGGCAGCAGGCGAGGCCGTCCAGTGCCGGAGGAGGAGGAGGCGGCGGCGGCGGCGGCGAGGCGGCTGCGAAGCTGCTGCTGGCGCGTGGCGCCGACCCGGAGAGGCCGTACGGCGGCCGGGCGCCGCCGGAGGCTTGCGAGGGGCGGCGTCGGGCGGACTCGTCCCTGACCCTTCCCGGACCCTTCCTGCAGGCGCTGCCAGAGCTCGCTGAGGAGGGGGGTGCGCCGCAGGGGCTGTGCACTCTGCTCCGGCAGGCGCGAGGCCGGCCGAGATACAGCAAAGATACAACCGAGATGCAGCCGAGATGCAGCCGAGATGCAGCCGAGATGCTCCTAGATGCAGCCGAGATGCAGCCGAGATGCAGCCGAGATACAGCCCGCTTGTGGCGCCCCTCCGGCAGGCGCGCGCTGAGGCGAGGAGGAGGGCGCTCGAGCTGGCAGAGAGGGCGGCGGACCGGGCGGCGGCGGCGCTGCTGACGGAGGAGGCGAAGGAGCAGAGGCAGGCCTTAGGAGAGAGCA